ATTCATGATACGCCTTAAAAGCTGGGCATATCGAAACTGTTTTCTAAATATCAACTAAAGATTTAACCGGCAAGAAGTATATTAAAGGCCTCCTCTGCAACAATTGTGTCAATAAATATTAAATGAACACAGTAAAAGCTTTAATTTAGTGTTGTGCCAATAAATTTTCAATTAAAAGAAATCAAATCCCCCACGTTTCACCTTGTTGCCGATCAATGTTTTGTATACAACATATGCACACATGTAATTGCTGTTAGCGTTTCAGTCTTCCTCTGAGTCATCCCAATGGGGTTCTAGAGCAACATCAAAAACATTTCAATTGCGGTTGGGCCCAACGCTCCGAACCCCATTGCTTGACCCACAAAGTCAAGCAAGCAAATCAGCACAAAAAAAGGAGAAAAGCTAAACACAAAAAACGTAGAGAAAACGCATGTCATACATGTCGTGCTGTCGTAGTCTCCAAGAGAAATCGTTTAAATAAAATATGCACACAATTGTGAGACCGCAAGGCACTGGGAAATGAAATAAGTGAGCCGTGGCAACCAGGCAAAGAAATAAATACAAACTCATAGATAGAAAAACCAAAACCTAAAACAGCAATAACAACAACCACAGCTGCAGCAGCAGCAGCAACTGAAATGTGAGACTGCAAAGTCAATGAACTGCAGCAGATACGAGATACAAAAAAATAGAATAAGCAACAAAAAATACGACAAAATGTATCTTTGAGCTGCTGCTGCTGAAGTTCTGTGTGTGACTTTGATGACGTCGTTTTGAGTGTTGCTCAGCATTCGATGTGCAATGGCTGAGTTGTTATTTTGTTATTTATATGCATAAATAAAAAAATATATATATATAGATTTGTATTTGTTATCCTTGTTTGCAGCTTGTCGGCAGCGTGCGTTGATTTGTTGTGCATGTGTGTGTGTGTGTGTGTGTGTTTGTGAGATATGACAGCGGAAATGCACTGCACATGCGATGCGAGCTGCGAAAGAAGGGCAAAGCATTCAAGACACAGATTACGCATACGCAGTGTTGAACTGCATTAAGTGGGCAAAATAAGGAAGGAGGGAAGCTGCAACTAATTGAACTGAATTATGTTTTTAGTTTAAAATTAACATATATAATTTAAAAAAAATATTGTAAATTAAAAAGTTTAGTAAACTTGTTAATTTAATAAATTCTACTTTTAAATTTAATTAGCTTAGAAAAGTTGCTCAACTAAAAAATCACAAATATAAAATTCATTATCCAGAAAATTCTAAATTAAAAAGCTTAGAAAAGTTGTTCCTCTAGGAAATTCTAGATGAATAACTTTTCTAAGCTATTTAATTTTTAAAATATTTTTTAAAACTATATAATGTTATTTTAATTCATTGTAAAATTGTAACTGTTGCAGTATTCCTTCTCTCTTTTTGATCGCCTTTCAACGCTATTCAACACTGCTTATGCGTAATCTGAATGCTTTGTACTTTTTGCGCTGCCATTAATTTCTAGATGAACAACTATTCTAAGCTATTTAATGCTAAATCTAAAATTTCCTAAAAGAACTACTTTTCGTAGCTATTTAATTTAAAATTTGTCAAATTAACATATTTTCGAAGCTCTTTAATTTTGAAATATTCCTTCAAATATTAGTAGTTTTAAAGTTTATTTATATTTTATTTTAAACTAATCTTATAATATTGTTATAACTATTTATATTCAAGGAAAAATAAAGTATAGATACAAAGTAGGAATTTAACTTATTTCAAACTGAAACATTCAATTTGTTTCGCTTAATTTCGAGATCCAATCTTCTTGTTATATTTCTTGAATTCTCAAGAAGTTCGTAATTGTATTTCTCGAACTCCGTAATATTTTTCTTTCTACATTCAACGAACTGGTTTTAAACTCTTATTTAAGGCTTTTGTTGCAATCTTTTGTACGTAGTTTTTCTCGGCACTCAACTGAGTTCATGTTGGGAGGCTCGTTAAATGCATGCGCCGTCGACTTTGGCCATAAAGCGTCTTAATGCGCCTCCACACTTTTCGGCTGGCATGGCTAAGAGGGGCGGGCGAGGCAAGTGAAAAGAAAACTACGAAAAAATAATTATACGTATGCGCAAGCATGAAGACAAACATAACGAAAAACAAATACACTTATTTAAAATGTTTTAATCTGCTTATACATTTCATTAATAATTTTGTGTTTTATATATTAAGATGGTATTATATATTTATTTTATTATTAATAATATTTTTTTTATTGTTATTATTATTATTATTATTATTATTATTATTATTATTATTATTATTATTATTATTATTATTATTATTATTATTATTATTATTATTATTATTATTATTATTATTATTATTATTATTATTATTATTATTATTATTATTATTATTATTATTATTGTTATTGTTATTTTTATTATTATTATTATTATTTTTATTATAATTATTACTATTATTATTATTATTTGTATTATTTTTATTTTTATTATTATTATTATTATTAGTATTATTATTTTTATTCTTATTATTATTATGTATTATTATTATTTTATTATTAATATTTTCTTATTATTATTCGTTATTATATTTCATTTTCATTCTTCATATTCACAGAAACGTGTGGATTACACTATTTAATTATCCCATGTTAATGGTTTGAAAGTAAAATTCAGAATTTGTTTTATTTCAAGCAGGTCTCAATGGCAAAAATGTATTTAATAGTTTTAATAGTGAGACTTTTTATTTTTAAGATAATGTATTTTTTATATCAATAATATATATAGGCAATTAATAATATTAACCAAATTATAAGTTACAAACAGCGTGAGGCAGTCGCAATACCCTTTTAGTAAGAGACTATAGAAATATACGCAAAATTGCATTTTTGGCAACAAGCTTTTAATTGCACTTTGTATGTGCTCATTACCTTAAATTGAGAGCGAGACAGACAGCTTTAACGGCCGTCTCTTTCGAGCATTGGCAGCCATTTTAATGCAAAACTTGGCAGCACTTTTTTTTACAGGCCAAGCGAAGGAAGAAAAAAAATAACAAATACAGGAAGAAGTCAGCATTTAAATGCATAAAAAAGTCAATGCAAAGAAAGAACAACAAATAAAGAATTAACAGCAAGAGAGACAGAGAGAAAAAGTGAGGGATAGAGAGCGGGCAGTGAAAGAGTTCACACGTGTGTATGTGTGTGTGTGTGTGTGTCACGTTTTGTTGTAATTGTGCGCTTAAGTAGCAAAGCGAATGGAAAATTGGAAATGGGAATGAGAAGAAATGAAAATGATATTGCCAAAAGCGTTCCGAAAAACTTTTAACGACAAAAACAAGCCGAAAAGAGGCGCCCAGGGGTTGTGCCACATACACACGCACATATGTGTGTGTGTGTGTGTGAATTTTATTTAAATGTATAAAGTCTGACAAAAATAATTAAACTGTGCATTGAAGTTTGTTTGTTTGTTTTTTTAATGTATTTTGGCGCAACGAAAAGACAATTAGGAAATGGTTCTTAAAGAAGGCAGCAATCGGGCGCAGGAGACGCCCTTTCCGTATGTGTGGGCCGCAGATATGCGTAATTTCAATTAAATGCCAGCATACGGAATACCCCTACCATCCAACTGACATTTGCAGCTTTTGTTATTTCAGTAATTTTATATTTTTTTTAGTTTTTCGTTTTTTTACTTTTTGTATACCTTTGTTGGCCGTTGGCTGTTAATACTATTATTTTTTCATTTGCAGCAACAGACGCGGATTAGCGTTGAAATTGAATCGAATTGAGGTGGCAAAATGTGTGTGTGTGTGTGTGTGTGAGTGGGTGTGCTGGGTGGGTGGTTGGGTGAGGGTTGACGAGTGAGTGGATTGCATGTGTGCATTTGCCTTTGGAGTGATTTTTAATTAAAGTGCTGCGTTAATTGCATTAATCTCAGTGTTTGCATGGGCGTTAGCTGCAGAGAAACATAGAGGGAAAGAGAGAGAGAGCGAGAGAGAGAGAGAAAGGGATAGAGCAGAGGAGAATCGCCCAAGTCCTGAAAATCTCAGTATATGCAATCAATGTATAAGCGATTTTACTGAATACAAAAGTGGGAAAAAAAAATCAATTTGACGATTGTTTTTTCGTGAACCTAACGAAATATGAGAAACAAATGGAAAGCTGTTGCCTTTTGTTGTTACCCATAATGCTCTCTAAATTTCAGCCAATTTATTTAATGAAGTAAACAATTTTCTTTAAGCGCAGCCTTTTTTTTTTTTTATTTGAGGGTAGATAAATGCTATAGATAATTAATTAAACAGCCGATAGTATCATATTAAGTAAGGTAATGTTTTTAAACAATCAATCTCTTGATATAAAACTGACAGACCTTCGGTCTGACTTATTGACGGACTGATTGCTGATTAACGCACAGCTCAAAACTTAAGAGCTAAGAAGCTAAAACTGCCTTATGTGATGAAATTCCACCCGCGTGTTTAAAAATCATTTAGGAAGTGCTTCAAATTTTTCGCAAAATCACAGCGTCCTCGGTGAAAAGTGAGATTCTAAGATTTTTTGGTGAAGTTATTTTCAAAGCTCTACATTAGAACTTAATGCATATGTGTTTCATCGATTTGGGAAATTCCGTCCGCAACAATGGTAAATTGGCGGAAAACCATCCTAACGGCTCAAAACTAATTTTTAAAGATCTTTGAGAGAATTTATTTTATACGTGCCGCGGGAAAGGCCGTGGTATACCCGCTAGTAGTATATATTTCAACTCTGAACTATATTTATATATAGTTAATATCATTTATAAATAGTAAATATCGCGAGATATATATACATATATATATATATATTTTGTTTGTTATCAGATGAGCATATGCAGAGAATTATATTTGTTATATTAAAATGAAGCTAAAACTGTTCTCTTCATTTCTTTGATTACGTTTGACTTTCCCTTACAAAAAAATATAATTTTTTATGACCTAACTCATTTGGAATGAACTTCTTTATAATTGCAGCTGGTTTCGCAGACTTAAAATAAAAGGCAGCCAGACGACATTGGCCAGCAAAAGTGGCTCAAATACAATTGACATTTATTGGCCAATATATATTTATAAGGCGTCCGCCCAAAGGAAGCGCCAGCTACGCCAGACAGCAACACAAAGCTTGAGCGAGAGACAGTTAGAAAGCGAGAGAGAGAGAGAGAGAGAGAGAGAAACTAAAAAATATATATAGTAAAAACTAGGTTTATAGAATATCTTGATGTTGTCAATGCTGCACAAGAACTGGCAGCATACTGCGCGCATGCAAATGCTAGGCAGGACGACGAACAGGACAAGCCACAGCACAATGTCATCCTGTGGACAACGTGGGCGTGCCCAGACAGCGGCAGGCATTGGCTGTCTATGCTGGATGGCATTGCTATTGCTGCTGTTGTTCGTGCCGGGTAAGTAAATTCTATACAACAAAAAAAAGTCACAAAGAAAAGACAAGAAATCTAAAAAACCAAATCGAAGCTAATTTTGTAGAAGATTTGCGCAAAGTCCAGCAAAAACTTTTTGACGAAATATTTACAAAAGTTGCCGGGCCCTGAGCCAACAAACACAAATAAAGGACACAAAACTGACAGCAGACCCGACAGAGCCCGGCGATAATTAATTTTTAAGCTACACAAAATGAAGCGCGGACAAGTGACACGCAAAAGATACAGCGGACGCATTCAATCAGGGTCGTGGCAGGGGTCAGAGGCAGCTGAGGGTGATAAAATCAATCGTTCGTTAAATAAACAAATCTTATTTTTCCGCAAACATTATTTCTCATCAGTGGCAAGTGGAGACAAAAACAACAGCAGCAGCAACAACAACAATAAATGAATAGAGTGATGACAACAAAATTTTTCATAAATGCGAGCATTCATCTGCATAAAACGATGAGAGAAACGAGGGGAATGCGGAATGGGGGGTAGACAGAGAGTGAGAGAGAGATTCAAAGAGAGAGAGAGAGAGAGAAGGCTACAGCCGCGGGCATGCAGTGTAATAATTAACGAGGGTTGCCACAGAACAAAACATCAAAATGATGTCGGGGCTAAAGAGATTTTTTAGCAGAAATAAATTATATTTATATTATAATATAAAATTAAAAATAATAATACTTATGCTTTTTAACTTCGATTTCGATAAAATTTTTTTAAAATTTTGTATTAAAAATAAAAAATAAAAAAAATAAATTAGTTTTTTATTTGTTTTGTAAATTAATTTCTTTTATTTAATTTAATGAAAACTATTTTTTTACTTATCCTTTTTTAATGTTGATTAGCTATATTAAAAACAAGAAAAATTGACGAAAACTAACTGCAAAAAAATAATCCTGAAAAACATATAGAAAAATGATATATTATTAATAAAACTATAAATTAGCAAAATTGTCTGCTGTCTTAAAAAATAAATAAATAATTAAATACTGGTGGCATTGCTGGCAACTTTCACATGTAAAAATTGTTTTTCCAATTTAAGATGTAATTTTTTTAATTCTAGTTCTACAGTTTTCTTGTGCACATAAACAGTAGCTAAATTATTTACCTCTACCAGAGTTTTCTTTTGTAAATCCCCACAGATAAATGAGCAGAGTCTCAACTTTTAAGTTTATTTAAGCAAACATTTGCTTAAAACAGTGAAGAAGTTGGGCAATAAAACAAAAGAAAATTTAGTTATAGAAATCTCGTAATAAGAATTTAAATACAATTTTTAGTCCTTCATATAATATCTTGTCTATTAAACTTAGACACAATTAACAGACCAATTTTCAGCTATTGTTTTGGGTTAACCCTCGCTCCATAAACAATAAGAACAAAGTAGCAGTTCATTGCGTTTGCTTAGAGCACTCGAGAAGCCCCAAAATGATGATGTTGCAAAAGGAACTATGAGATACTTAATATCCAACCACTGACTGCCATTTGCTATTTTATTTTGTTGCTGCTTCTGTTGTGTTTTTTGTGTGGCGCTATGAAAATGCCGAAAGGCACGCGGCAAGAAAAAGGCAGACTACAGCACAAGTGTAAACAAGCTGAAAAACAACAACAGCAACAATAACAACAACAAAAATGTACAAAACCAACAACAGCAATTGCTGCCTCGAAAATGTTTCATAATTTTTTGCGTGATAAAGTCGCATTTGCTGGGATTAAATAAGATTTTCTTGCAATTACCCAACGAGTGCAGAAACTTTTAGTACTCAGTTTTGTTTTCAAACGGCGCGGCGAAAGCGGAATGAAAAAAGTTTTGCTTTCATATTGATTTCAACTTGGGTATGCGAAACAGAATCCACAGTTCAATCGATGGTTTGTATTTTATGTCCAAAACAAAGAACGAGTTCAATTTTTTTGGGACCTTTTGTGTGTTTAACTGCTGAATGCGCCAAACATGCAACACGTTGTGAGTTGTGCAGCAGTATAAATGCAGCAGACAACAAGCACAAACAGATAGATCAGAAATAACAGGAATAAATGAGTCGAATATCAAATACCCTATCTTAATGACACGAAGATACGATGCTAATCTAATTTGACTTTTCTGAATCTTTGTAAATAAACGAGATATTAAGGATATCGACGAATATTTAATACCCTTGTGAACATTTGCCCCATGGTCTGGCTGATATGTATGAATAGTGAAGCTCGAAAATGCTGAGCTTGAGAAAACTATCTTGGAAACCATACAAGAACAAGAAGGGAATACACAGGAACTTAATCTTCGACTTATTGTAATAGGCACTTTATCATATAGTAATGCGATTATTAAGTTTTTAAGTCATTGAGGAGTGTAACCTTCATTCAAGTAATATTATTTAACATTATTAAAAAGTTGTTAATGCTAACAACTAACCGATTCGGTGTCTGTTCCTTTTGATATTGTGGCCCGATATTAAGAAACTATTGCTGATGTGTTGGGATCACATGGAACATCGTAGTTTTCGAGTTTAAGCATGATATATTGTAAAGCCAACAACTTTTTCTTAAACATAAACCAATCATTTTCATCCCATATATTCAGACCAACTATATATAAAATAGTAGAGAAGATCTCTTCGACTTTCTGATTAATTCTCTGCTCTTAACCGATTTGTCTCTCACAAAAGTCGAGACAAAATGCGAATACCCTTCGGCGAAGGCGACCAAACAACAATGCACCAAATTGGCTTCAGCTTTTGGTGTTGCCTGTTACTTTGGCTAGCGTCTCTGCTCAACGCTGGCCTATAGAAAACTCAGATCACACATACGCACTGTTGTGCAGTGCTTTGTTTAGCAAGCACCTAAGTCTATGCCCGGTTGCCCATGCTGCACTCCAGCCGAATGTCTTTTCCCTCCCCCTGCCGACCACAGTCACAAGCACAGCTCCACTTTGCATATCACACGAACTTGCACTTTGCAGCTGCCATATTTTTTTTCCTTCGTGTCCTTAGGTGGTTTTCTAATGGGGTTGCGGGGGTGCTTGTGTTTTGTCTAGCAGACATTTGCCGTTTACTGTTTTGACATTCCAACTTGGTGCAGCTGATGGGGATCCTGCCCCCCCACACACACCCCTCCCAACAACTAACCAACTGACAGCCTCTTTTGTCATCGTCTTCAGCTATTGTGGGCGTGCCCTGTCAGAGCCTGTCTGGTTACCCATTCAATGGCTGCATTCCAAGAGGTAACACTATATACATATATAGGTAACCAGGGTTAAACTGCATTGTAAATGGATTTGCCTTGGTAACAGCTATGACAAATTGTGAGTAAGTAATGCATGTTTGTATGTAAGAGAATGTGCTAGAAATATCTTTATGGGCTTGTGCAAATATTTACAGAGCCATATCAAATCTATATTGAGCATAAATTGGCAAGATGCATTTTGGTAAATTTACTGATGGCTAATAGGAAGAGATAGAGACTGATTGAGAGAAAGAGGCAAAGGCAGTGAGAGAGAGAGAGAGAGAGGGAGAGAAAGACAGAAAGAGACACAGAAAGCGACACAAATGGAGAGATATATTTGATCTATACTAAATTTTTGTTACTGGTGAATGCATTAATACTTCATGGCAATAAGGAATTGCTTCATATTTTCACTTAAAAATAATATTTTTTTATATTTTATTTCAAAGCCAAATATTGTTCAAGAGTTCAAAAATAATTACTAATTACTTCATTTAATTAAATTTATTAATTTAAATTAAATTAAATTACGAAATTAGATACATTTTAGAAGAGGAATAGACAATTTTAATGTCAGTTCCAAATATAATATATTAATCATTTTTAAAGATTAAGTTTTAAGTTGTTGCTAGACTACGGTATCAACAAATCAGAAAATGATAACAGAATATTTAATTAAAAAAAAATAAATTTTAAATCCAACAAAAAAATGTTCTACTTCTTATTCTTTATAAAAAAGATTTGTACAAAATTTTAACATGTTATTTTTAATATACATTAATCATAACTTTTCAAGTTCATTTTTTGCGCTTATTTATTTGTTTATTTATTAGTGGTCGACAAAACGACTGTCTTCCTAATTATTCAATACATTATATTTACAATTATGAAATTTAGATGCTAAAAGCCTAGATAGAGAACACAAATTTCAAATAGCATCACCGACCGATGGAGGTGTTTTATTTGCCAGTCCGGCCAGCTGTGCCCCTTTTCACAGCTAATTTTGTCAGTGACGCTATTAGAGCCTACATCTAAGAAGAAGGGTGTAAGTAGGAAAAAGTGCTCTTATGTAAAATTAAAAATAATCTTAATTTGCTACATTATTTAAGAATATATCATAAATAGGAGAAAAGAAAGTAAAAAGATTGTTAATAAAGTAAAGAACTGTATGCTAGATATACAGAGTGTTAAGTAGATAGGATAAAGAGATAGTATTGGGAAAGTAATGGGAAATCACCGACCCGGTGGGGGAAAATTTACAGCCTGTCCAGCAAGCTATGCCCCTGCTCATAGCTGGGAATGGTCAGTGACTTCCCGAAGGTATCCTGAAAGCAACGATTTTATTAGGGGTAGAGAAAGTTCGGTAGAGAAAACCTGATGCAAACTATTGTAATTTTTACATAGCTCGCGAAAAGGATTGTGCATAGCGTAGTCTGTTGTGCACGTAGATAGGAATAAGGGGCGGTAATTTCTGGTTGGTCTAGCCGGAACAGAGAATTGAAGACGCCCTAGCAGAAAAGGAGAATCTATATCGCCAACAACCAACTTATGTAGAAAGACAACACCGAGAATTGTCCTACGATTGGTTAACGACCGAAGGTTAAGAAGAAGCAGCCTGCTGGAATAGGATGGCAACCGAAGATTAGGATCCCAATTTAAGATTATTTTAAAGATATATAGGAATGAAAATACAATAAATAGATTTTATGCTTCCATAGTATGCCTGCGTTCGTTTAAATTTAGATTTTTATACACTT